GCTACGACAACTGGAAGCTGGTCTTCCTGGAGCAGCGCGCCACTGGGACACTCAGGGTCTGGGCCGAGCCCTTCACGCAGCTGCGCGTGCCCAAGGTCTTCAACCTCAGGCTGGGTGCGCAGCCCCGGGGCGGCCGTGGGGATGCCGGCCAACACCAACGGAGTAGGGTCATGCGCCGCAATGCCATGCATCATGCGTCAAAACTGATGCCATGTGCACTCCCTGTTTAAACCCGTTGCTCTGGAGATCGCACGCAGCAACGGCCACAAAGCTGTGCCTCTGCCTGGCGCCCTCATCTTCAATCACCTAGCCCCACCACCCCACCCTCTCATTTCACCAGACCCCTACGAGAGGGCTGATGTCACCAGCAACACGTACTATGACTGTGAGTGACGACAACCCAATGGGTCACTGATCTACCACTTGGCCACCTGGGCATTGCGAGTATCAAAGCTGGAAGCTGCGGTGCTGCCAGCCTCTTTGATACTGCGGTCTCTTGTGTGTAATCCAACCGACCCTGCGGTGCGTGCATGTGAGTCGTATCAAGGGCTGCCCCGTCACTCCCTGCACCCACCCTCCATGGCGCAGGGCTGCTGGACCACGCCTGGGTGATGGTGCCGGCGCAAGCCTTTGTGGCCAGGATGATCGCCACGCTCAAGGAGTTCCCTCCCCGCCAGAAGCCCGCCACCTTCACGGTGGACCAGCTGCTGGCCAAGCTGCAGGCCGGCATGCCCAGCTCGTGATGGGCTACACAGCACAAGCAGGGGGGACCGCCGCCAGAGTTGCGCTGATATGCCCTTGGGGCATATGCACCCTGGGGCACGAAATTCAGCTCCAGAACGCTCCGAGCTGCACAGCCGTGTGTCTGAAGTCCTGCAATCTGCCCCGTTTGTTCGACCCGCAAAACAGACAACTCGGCTGCTGTATCCCTGTTGCTACGTGCCTCGATGATCAGTCGCAAGGCCTGCAAGTGGCAGGCTAGGCTTGACGTGTGCTGTCCGTTCTTCCTGGGGAGAAAGCACGTCGTGCACGCATACTTGATGAGTTTGAGTTGGGTTGTGAACGGCAGCTTGCCGTCAAAATTGCTCATAAGCACTCGGTCTGCAACAATGATACAAAGTACATATTCAGAATATGCAGATTGCATGATGATATCCGAACCGACTCAGGCTCTGGTTGGACACACTGCAGTGTCTGTGCAGGACTGCCGCTGCCCAGCGTTGACCAAACACTTTGGTACCTGCGCCTGTGATGAGTTGCCGTGCAGCGTCCTCAAAGCCACTCACGCAGCTTGCCTTGCTCACAACCAGCAACTCCAAGGCCCCAAGGCCTGGCCTTCAATCACAAACGTCTCATGCGAGGGTGTCACTGCAGTGAGGCACTCTCACAATTAATCAGCCCAACTTTTCGGTCGGCTTTGCGATCGAATTGAATCGCATTGAATTGCTGGCTTCCACTTCAATCGTTCTGCGATTTATCCCTCCTGCTGTCGAAAATCAGATCACGTCACGATCAGCGACTACGCGCGAACCGGGACCACCGCGCAGGCAGCATCACCACCTCCTACGCAATGTGTGCGATGAGCGTGTCAATGAGTCAACCGCGTGCAGGCACCAGCCTGCTGGCGGCGCGGCGCTGCACCACACACGCAACTGGAGCATTCACTACCGCCCGCCGCGGCGTGCGGTGCAGGGTGCTGACGGAGAGTTGCGACCTGGCAATTGGGACCAAGGCGCCAGATTTCGAGGTATGCAGGCGCGCCGCCTTCCACCCACGCCTCACAAACGGTTACCAGCTGCGGCGGAAGCTCTGCAGGCTGATGACACCAGTCCTGATGGCACCCACGCCTCTTTTAGCCGGGCCCGCGCCTCATCCCTGGCGCATAACAGCGACCGCCGCCCTGCTTCTCTTGACCCACATCTTGGACTCTCCACGCCCCTTATTTCAACACTGCAGCTGCCCGAGCCCCTGACGGGCACGACCGTGAAGCTGGCTGACGTGGCGGAGGGCGCCAAGGCCACGCTCGTCATGTTTGGCTGCGTCCACTGCCCCTTCGTGGTGCACCTCAAGGGTGCGTCCCCCGCAGCCTTTGGGCGGGGCGCACTGCCGTGAACCCAGCTGTTGCTGGCTGTCGCAGCACTGGACAATCAAAGACGGGCAGGGTGTCAATGCTCCGGCAACAACGCTGAGCGAAGCGACATGCTGCTTGCTTTGCTAACCCCAACATCACCCGTCCGCGTCACTCAAACGAGCAATTCTCCCACCCACATCCCTCCCTGGCCTCCCTGCACGATGACGTCACCAGGCCCGTTTTCCAAAATCGCCAAGGATTACTTGGCAAGGGGCGTCAAAACGGTGGCCATCAGCAGCAACAGCGTGGTGACCCACCCCCAGGACGGCCCAGAGTTCATCGCAGCCGAGGCCAAAGAGCTGGGGTGCGCGGGGGTGGCAGCGCGCAAAGTGTCCATGTCAGCCACTGGGCAGCTGGGTCCTGCGCGGCTGCCCGCTCTCAGGACATATGCAATGTCCAGAATCGACGAGGGATGGCGGCCGCCTGGCCTACATCATCCTGGCAGTCACCTGTGGGTCAACCCCTGGTGGCCCTGGAATGTGGACTGCCCTACAAATGGGCCAACCACTGCCTCTGACACCCCCACTCCGCATCCCACCGCACAGGTACACCTTTCCCTACCTCTACGACGAGAGCCAAGACGTGAGGGGATCAGCGGCCGCACGCATGTGTCCGGGGCAAGACCATAAACATAGTTTGCCCCTTGAACCAAGCAGCGTTGCCCACCGCCCGACGGCACTCTCTGTATCTCTGCAATGTCCCGCAGGTTGCGAAAGCCTACAAGGTGGCCTGCACCCCCGAGTTCTTCGTGTTTGACGCCGACCTGAGGCTGGCCTACCACGGCCAGTTTGACGACACGCGGCCGGGGGGCAGCGCCCCCGTCACAGGTGCGTGGCCTTTCCCGAACCCTGCTCGCAGCGCATGTGGGCGTGAACGTACCTCTGTTTGGCTTTCCTGATAAGCCTGTGTGTGCTGATGGACGTGTTGACGCAACCAGAACAGCTCAATACTGTTGCCGCCATGCCTCACAACACCGGGACGACTCCAGGCCGCGACCTTGTGGGCGCGCTGGACGCGGTGCTGTCGGGGCAGCCTGCGCCCAGGGCCAAGCCCAGCATTGGATGGTGAGGGGCGCGGAGCGCAGGCGCTTCCCGCCTGGCTCAGCACAGGAACTGAATGCGTAAGAGCGGGCCTGCATTTAAGAGGATAGCGCGGCTAAGAGGGTGCCATGCCCCCTAGCACACCCCACACCATGCGGGTTGTCCCCAGCGCAAACACCATGCTCGACCTCCCCGCCCGCCCTGCAGCAACCTCAAGTGGCACCCTGGGAAGGAGCCGGAGTGGTACGGGCCGCAGCAGGTCAAGAAGTAGTTGGCTGGTCAGGATTGTGGGCCCAGCACAAGCGTGTAGGAGAGATGTCCGCATGCCTCGCATTGTTGGGAGTGCTGCTGCATGTTTGCCATGTTGGCAAAGTTTTTGGAGGGCTCTTGCATGCCGGCAATTGTACGACTGCATTGTACTTTACTGCTGTCAGAGAAATGATTGTGTAAGTATTGTGCTTGTGCCTGCAACCATATGCTCGACGGGCCTCTTGTCGAGGAACAGGGACTGCGTGGACCGCACCAACGGCCATGCCAACTCCATGCAACTCATCACACGTCTGCTCCCAATCGAGCTGGCTTTCATGTGCCTAGGCTGGCGTATGAGGGGATCGTAACTTACAATTCCACCATACCTGTGACTTTAGCACACCACAGCCTGGCAGCTGAACCAAACAACAGCCATTGTCACCACGAGTGTCGCAGTGGCACTCAGATCACTGTGTCGAAACTTTGCGTTCAAACCGCCGGTGATTCCAGTGTACCGTATGCGCCATGTTTGCAAAAGTATTAATTTAATCAATCAGAGACACTGACTACTGGGCTTTCCAGCCTTGCTGACAACAGCCTTCGCTGACAACGAGGCCGCTGCTAATGGGACGGTAACAGTCTCCTTGAACTGTGATACGCGACGTGTGTTGCGAGCGTCCCTCAGGGCCGCGTCAAGCATAGTCAAGCGTCTGTGATAGCTTGGCCGCCGCTGGAGGCAAAGCTGCCGCGCGCTGAAGGTGTGCATCCGTGGCTGCAACTAAACCGCACAGTGGCTCCCTTCTTTGATATTAAACCATGTCACAGTAAACGGCCTTGGCATGTCAGTGACAGGCAGAAAGTCACTGTGCAGCAGCGGTTTCGCACAGCTGCGGCCCTGGACACACCACGCCCCCCCCCCCATGCGCCCACCGCACCCACCACCGCACCCACCACACGCGCCGCCACGGCGCAGGCCAAGATAGCTGACTGGGGCCTCCTCTCCGACCAGACCACCGCGGCGCACTACCCCGCGATGAGTGACTTTGAGTCGTCGGACTCGGACCCCTACGGCGAGGACGCCAGCGAGGACAGCAGCGAGGAGGAAGACGAGGAGGCGGTCGACGAGAACGGCGTCGCTGACGAGGACGGTGACGGGGACGAGGACGAGGACGAGGAGGAGGAGGGGGAGGAGGGGGCCGGCGGCGATGAGGAGGAGGGGGCTGCCGGCAAGCCCACGTTCCGCGGGATCAAGGCGGCGGACGCGGACCTCCTCGTGCCGGTGGGGGGGGGGCGATGCTTTGTGCTGCAAAATGGGCGACGGGGGGGCGGCACCTTGGCACCGCGCAGGTCCCAGTGGTCCCTCGTGGGCACCGCCACGGCATAATCAGCAGCAGGGAGCGATCAGCGCTGGGAGGGCCGGGCAGCGGCTGGCAGCGCGTCCGCCGCCCGCAGCAGCCGCGGGCGTCGGCGCATCGTTGCGTGCTCGCGTCCTCCCCTCCCCGCCCTCGTCCCTCATTCCCTCACCCTACTCTACTGCCCCACCCAAATCACGACACACGCACA